ATAAAACAAACACTGTAATACTACTTAAATGTAGTCCAATACCAAGAATTAAACTCAAACTTGTCTATTTAAAACTGTTCAAAGAGGTTCACTGAAGTATTTTAACTTCGCCGGCAATTCACGTTTAGAAAATAATGTCGAAGTATTTATTTGAGTTAGATTTTTTTTAGCATTTTGAAATTTATCATATCGATCCAGTTTACCCTAAGATCCCTTTTTGAGATTTTCTGGTGAGATTTGCACTTGGTTTCAGGATGTTCCCGCCATTCAAGGCACCTCTTTGGCCTTGCCTTTTGTCAAGCCTAACTTCCTCATAGCTATTGGTGTGTACCACAGAGGCGGCGTGTTTCGTAGCGTGGGGAGACCGCAGAGATCACTTGATCACTTTCAAAATATTAGATCATTGCATGGTTTTTGTTGTTTTTAATGTTAATATCATTAAGCTCTACCGGATAAGGTTTATTTTATTACACTCTAAGCGGTCAGGCAGGGGAGAATCATTTAGTTCTAAGGCTGTTTAATGTCCTTATTCGTAAAGCCTGTGTGGTGGATTGAATTACCAATATCGCCGATGATATTAAGCCCAATGAAAAAAGACGAGATTGTAAACTACAATCAAAGTGGGTCATTAGAATACTCTAATTCCCACATTACTTTATTTGGAAATCCCGTTCTTGATATTTTTATTAGACCCACGGCTTGCATCTGGTGTACTGAAATAGCTGTCACTGAAGAGAAATTTCGAAGATGTATCATCGGACAAATATTCAAATTTAACCAAAATAACTTACTTATGGAAAGCCCGTACAAATAAGAAAATACGCTAGATTTTTCTTAACAAAGAAATGTTATTACAGCGAGTTAAAAAAGCTCAAATATTCAAAAACATTACCAAGGTATTTTAATTAACAATTACAAATATTTTGAAAGAAAAGAAAAGATATTTGAACAATTTCGAGCCGTTTTGCGAGCTTAAAATTCTTCACTCGTGCCCTGAGGCGATTCCATTCAGTAATTTCTTGTAGCTGTCCAACTATCAAACTCTTCTCGACCATTACCGCTTAAAGCTCTTGTGATAATTCATTCATTCTTTCATATAGACATAATATATTCGCGTTAAATTGAAGCACATTTAAAGTTCTTGCAGCCAGAGGCGTTTGTGTTTATGATGGTCTAAGTGAAGCACGACCAAGAATTCATACAATCGCTTTAATCTTTCTCCCGGCTTTCTTTCATCAAAAACGGCTGAAAAAAATATTTAAAAAAAAAAGTATGAGATGAATTTGCGATTTGGAATTATTAATGAATAATGTATTAAAACCTGGATAAAGCAACATTATTCCAGGATAAAAAATACGCCTCGTGTTGTCAGGAAGCATACATCGCAGTGAGAGGTAAATCAGGCCACTAATGGACTCCTGGGAAAACATAGATGCATTCGACGTTTTGTAAATAAGTAGCAATTAAGAAAGAACGGCGAAAGAAAAACAGTGGGACTATAGCAAAGAGCTTTAGTGTTGTGTTGTTAGAAGGGGCTTCTAATGTTATTTGATACATATATCGAGTTTACAGAGGGAAAATGATAGCTCTCCTCGCTAAACTGAGGTCTGAATGGCTGGGGAAAATTGATACGTGAATTAGCGTTTTACGCCTGAGGGGAAAAGCTCGTAAAAACTACAGACTTGCTAAACTAAAATGGTTTAATTTTTCTTTAATTTTTGCTATGATTCGCTTTTTCTACTATCTTGTCTGCCATGAGAACCAAATATTGTATGCAAGCACTTCCAGAGTGGTCCGAATGTGTTCAAGTGATCAACTTAACTAAGCGATAGAAAACAGTACTTTATATTTGTACAAAAACATATTTATTATCTACTGATTAGGCCAAACATATTGGTTTTCCTGGTTTGAGCTAATATTTTCCTCAAACTCCGACCGAAAATCCTTCAGGATTTAACTAACAAATCTGGCGTAAAATCGATCGTAATTTTTTTCAGTACCATTCGACCAGTAGGTTCACCACTGAATAACTCTTTCTTAGCTGCCAGTTGATGATTCAAGCGTAATAGTCATTTAAGAATCGAAATAAAAAATATTGAAGTGAAAGTCGACAAGAGGGATTTTGAGTGGCGAGGCCACAAAAGAAACTTTCAAATCATTCAATCCATACTATATTTGTGTCATCAGATCGACATCAAATAAACATCAAAGCTGTATTCTTTGCTTAGCTTGTAAAGAAACTTTGCATGGATGTGTTGGGAGTTAATTATTGTTTTTGTTACTATGCCTCGGTGATAAAACTGATAATTAAGATATTTTAAAGAAAATAGTATCATAATCGTTCCAAAAAGTTGCCATGCTGCATTGATGCGGAAAACTCTAAAAATGAACCTAGAAAAAAGCTTGGAGACGCCGCCCTATAGTATCCGGCGACGCGTGGTTTCTTTTCACTGCTCTCGTCTTTTTGTTTTGGTAATCATCTTGTCTGCCAGATATGTAATATTACACTTAGGGGAGTCACGTAGTACAATACGGTTGAACAAAGCAGACCTCATACTTGCTCTATCAATATGTTGTGAGATATTGAGATCAAAGTGAAAATGATTCGCGAATTAAAACAATAAAGACGTGTGAATTTTTTATGATTTTTGAATAAAGGTGACATGGAAAACGGAGTTAGTATATTTGTTTTCGTAAGAGAAAATGTTAAAATTAAATTAAATTAAATGAATTGATACATTAGAACCTATTGTTTATATCAAGGGTCTATCAAGTCAGCTATTGTTGGGCTTCCTGTGTGGGAGGGACCACAAGATGTTGTGGGGAAAAAAATAAAGTATCGAAGCGGTTTGGTTTTTTGCATTTTGTCATAGTATTTTTCTTCTTGATCTTTTTTTCCTTCCTTCCTTTCTTCATCTTTTTATTAATTTTCCTTTCTTTGTTTTTCATACTTTTTATTTCTATTTTTGCACGTTGTCAGAAAAGACATTTTATATTGACACTTATTTTATTTTGTAATCTGAGGACAAAAAAAATGAGCTGTTATATTTAGCACATAAATGTGAGGGAGTTATATAAGTAACGAAACTATAGAAATAAGCCCTTACACCGCTAAAGATATAAAGGTATGTCTAAATATAGCACATTTGAGGTATTTTTAGCAAAATCGTGTATCCTGATATATTTGTGGCTACAGCTATGACGTATTTTCTGAATATTCTTAATTGCAAAATAAGATTATTAGCTCAATCATATTTTAATCGATATATATATATAACTTTCATCGTTCCACGTCTTTTATATCCACGCGTTAGGGAAAAAAACCGTGTAGCGTACGCGACATTCGTTGTGGATGATCGATGAAAGTGGAATCAAAGTGTTAACCCAAAGCAAACATTTTATTCGAAAATGAGGTTTAGGCCTTCATTTGCTTAATTCCCATATATTTTCTATAAAAAAGTCTGACAAAGCAAGATTCTAATACAAATGCAACAAAACATCTTTGTACAACTGAAAATACCGCTTCAAACAAGCATTTTATCATAGAACATCAGTTTCTAACTGTTTAAAAAAGGTGGTAACCCAAAACGAAAATTGGGATCAAAACTCTTACGAAAGTCTAGTTTTTGGCGCTTTTTGCCATCATTGCTCATTACTGAAAAAAATTTCCTCTTAAAAGAAAAAAGAAAAAGAAAGAGGTTGAAACAAGTACCGAAGAAGCGGTTGGTTCTTTTAGCTTCTCTAGAAGATAAGATAGTTTTATAATCCCACTTGAAGTTCTATTCTCCTAAGTTAATTCAGTACTTGAAATTTGTTTTTAAATCATCTCTGTCGGGCTCGATAAAAATACTTTACTGTTCAAGTCAATCCAACAGCTAAGCTAATATGTCGGACTTCTCAAGAACGGTTTGATGTTTTTACGTTTGTTCGCGTAAACCAAACTCCGGCATGTGTCAAGATAAGTTGAAAAGCATGCTTAAACCGTGCTTACACAGGTCCAAACATCTATCACTTGCCCAAAGGGTTTATCGCTACACCTGTCAGCAGACAAGAATGGCGTCTTTGTCTTAACCAGCTCACTTGTAATTAAAGTTTACTCTGGGATTATTCAGAATGTAATGATTGCTATTCGAGATCACCTAGATCAATATTTTGCAAACGCCAAGAATAAATAAAGATGAGGATTTTCATTCAAGCTCTTTCATTGTCGGTAGAGCAGATTCGTCTTTTGTTTGAGATCATTGATTAGCCTTGTTTGACTTCCTCTTTTCGCCAGCTACCGACAGCCGCAGATGAGACAATCGCAGAGTTAAACCAAATAAACTGAACTAATAATATTCAATGCATTGATTTCATTTTGAAATCTGGCAGTTGGGATAGCAGGTTCTCGCTCGTATTGTTAGTTAGCAACGAAGATCTTGTTGGTCGTTTTCTTTTCCTGATTAAACAATAAAACCAGTGAAAAGTTTGGTATTTTGACAGTTAAGAAGTAAAAAAAAAATCACATAAAAATCCGATAAATGTTGCGCACAATTGGCCCAATCACTATTTTCTATTTCAGACCACGTGTCATTCCTTGATTCTCTTACATATTTATGTATATTATCGCGCATTACGTAAAAAAAGAAATAATACTCAAGGGGATGATATCGAAACTGTCAGCTGTTAGCAACCCACACAAACACTGTACCATTAGGTATTGAAAGGTGTATGACTACGACAGGGAAAAGAAAAAGAAAGAGTATGTAAAGAATATACATATCATAGTTATAGGCCTGCGGCTTTCAAAAAACAGAGAAGTACGTTTTACACAGACTTGAAAATTTCATCTATATTGGGTTAATAATCTAAAATGATAATCCATTTATCAAGCATAGATCTTTTTTACAAAATACAGTGAATAATTCAAATGTAATTGATTTAAATAATTAAATTATAGATTATATTATAATATTAATATATGTACATGGATGGTATATTGTTAGTTATTAACCACCTTCCATTGCATCACCAGTAGATATCACTCTGTTATATTGATATATGTACATGGATGGTATATCGTTAGTTATTGACCACCTTCCATTGCATCACCATTAGATATCACCCTGTTATATTGATATATGTACGAGGATGGTATATCGTTAGTTATTGACCACCTTCCATTGCATTACGCTACAGTCTTTACCACCAGTAGATATCACCCTTGTATCATCACACGTGAAACGAACACACGTCACGTGCGAACTGTGACCAACGCAGTTTTGACAGTCAGACTGCAAAGCAGAAAAAATGCATAATTCAAATCTACCAAGACGTTTGGAAAAATTTAGGAGTATTTTTAAATGAAACAAGGACTGTTGAGAGGGGGGCTGCGGGAGGGGGTGGGGCACATGTTGCATGTCGCAGTGCACTCCGCTTTCACTTTCAGTCAGGCTCATTATCCGTAAAAATATATAGTCTGCTATATTTTTCATGTTAGCCTCCCACTCTACGCCACACACACACACACACACACACACACACACTTTTTAGTATGCTCTGTGGTCCTTGTGAAATCATATCCCTTTACCTTTAACTTCGCCACAGGGAATCTGAAAAAGTTAACCTGCCCAAAATCATCTCCTGTAACAAGAAACTCCGCTCCAGTTGACCTACAACAAGCATTAATATCCGTGCCATCAGCACCCTCAGGCCAAATACCTGTCATTGAAGAGAGCGAGAATAAAACTTTTTACTTTGGGCTTAATGTTTTTTCCATTACATACCACGTGTCATTAACTAGAGTATCATTACTTTGTTTAACGGTTGTGCTTGAGAAATTCAACATGGCATTTTCAAATGCACCTGCGCACTCTTTCTTATTTTATTATTGTCATATGTATATATTATAGCATTATAGTTTGTCTTAATGGCCAACTATCAGCTTCGTTCTAACGCTAGTGGAGGAGCATTTTTGCTGTGACTGCAGGGTATCAAGAAGATGTTTTATCTTGAAGGACAAAAACTCCCAGAACGAGATATATGTGTATTCTTATCTTAATCAAAACACGAACCAAACAAGTACGAACACGTAGATCAGGGATCGAAAGTTCAACAGCAAAGATGCCAAAAATAAACCATATTTCGCAATACTTAAAAAGTGAAACCGAAAACAAGTTATAAAGCTTCCTCCAGGAAAGTAAGACTCACCGCAAGCAGGAAATCCCAGAACGCACGTCCAAGTCTCCCACTGAATGTCTCTCATGGCGTAGGCTGACACTACGTGTTTACACCGCTGAGCGTTCCCTGGAAAAGCAATATTCCATGATATATCGGTATTTGTTCTTTTAATTTAAATGCTTTAATTAAGGTCATCGCTAATACCCTAATCTTCGCAACATTAATGAAAGTGGTGATCTTGCCTGGACGCGGATCACACTAGCTGACGTTGATATTCACCATGTTATGTCTGTCCACGGACTCTTTAGTCTGGCCATAGTCGTTACATTTCAATCATTTAGTAAATCTTTTACCGTCCTTTGACCAAGACGCGTCGAGGCGCATCCATGAACAAACACTGCGCATGCGCGTCAGATCAACTCAATTAGATAGATACTCGTCTCCAGAATTACTTATTAGATATTGAATGTCTTTGAAATTGACCCATATAGGCGCATCAATTGACACTAAGCAGGCACATGAACTAATTACAGCTATATTTTGTTACCATGATTGTTCTGTAGAATTAAATGTGATATATATATATATATATATATATATATATGACCAATCGAAGCGCATCAATCAACACTGCACCCTGATAAATGTATGGAAAGCACGGGTGTCATAACGGTGAGAGCGCTCGCCTCTCATCAATGCGACCTGGGTTCGAGTACCGCCGGGTTCAGTGTCGTATGTGAGTGAGTTTCAGGTTGGTTCTCTCCTGTGCTTCGAGGGTTTTTTCTCCGGGTTCTCCTGTTTTCCGGCTCCCTCCACAAAAATCAATTCCTAAATTCCAATTCGATCATGGAACGAGGACCACAGGTTTGTTATCCACTGGCTATTAAGTGCTACCCTCGTAAAAATAAGGACCGTTTTTGTTAGTTTTCTCAGTAGAACGAGGCAGTTGTTAATTTTTATCGCCCTCATAGCGTCTGTTATGTTAACCGCAAGTGTATTTCAAGTCGACTACGTGATGCCAGTACTGTGTCACGTGGACAAGACTTGACTGAACTTGAATGCACTTCTGTCACGTGGTGTAAAAACTTGTCCACGTGGTCCAACATTGGCATCACGTGCACTATCACAACTGCCTCTTTCTACTGGCAAGATTCAGTGGTAATTATAGCTTTATATTTGTTAATCGAATTACTAATTCGGATGATGAAAATTTTGTTTTGCCAATTGCATCGCATTAGTACTGCCACTGCACATGAACATAAAGTGATTAGAGACATGAAGTTTGATACTCACAGTATAGAATCTCGTAATCACCAGAATTACTCTGCAGATATTGGCTGTCTTTTGACCAATCAAGATGCGTCACAAAACTTGAATGACCCTAAATGCAAAAGCAGAACGAACAATTTGAAATGCCTTTATTTTAATTTTCAAAAATCGCTCCTCAGAAGTCTTTTATCATTGCGCATAAGTCGTTGAGAATGCAAGTTCTTACCGATAGTTTTCCATGTTGTTGAGAATGCTAGTTCTTACCGATAGTTTTCCATGTTGTAGAGAATGTTAGTTCTTACCGATAGTTTTCCATGTCTTTTGTAGGTGCGTCCATCTTCGCTCACGGTGTACAAGTAGATGAAGTTATCATGCGAACCAACTGCGATATATTTACCATCTGTGGAAGTTGAAGAAATTAGAGCAAGTGAAAACTATGGACAATTAATGGGATAATGCAAAAAGTTGGTCTGAATATATGTTCATACGTAAGTTAATAAAAAATCGTATTTTCTGCAAACCCTCTATATCTAATTTTAAATCTCTGTTTCGCAACGGACGGTTATTCCCGATTTGAACAGAATAATGTACACATGTCATACTTATGTAGCTTAATAGCTGTCCCGCTTTAGCTTACCAGGTGAGTACTTAATAGCATCAAGTTGTTCAGGGCCATCATGGAATGTCGCCAGTTGATCCCCATTAGTGGAGTCCAGGACCATCCACTTGCCGCTCTGTGTACCTATTGCAAGTACAAAGGCTTTTGGATGGAAAGCCGCTGACTGAAGGGACTCCTGTACAACAAAGAATTCCACTTCTGAGTATATAACTCTACCATTCTCCTTGGGTCCCCTTGGGAAGCACGGGTGGTGTGCGCTGTTGATGCGCTTCCCTCATGCGGCCCTGGGTTCCATTCTTGGACCTTCAAAACTCCAAACACCTTCAGGTTTTATCGATTAAACTAGAGACCTAACAACCTCGAGCTCTATACTTTAATACCCAGTCCAGTAATCGAGCCCTAGACCACAGATCTAGTGAGGTGACACCGACTGCACGACACCCTAGTGATTTGCAATGACGGTACTGCCATCATATGTGAGTTGTTGGTTAGTTCTCTGCTGTGCTGTGCTTTCCTCCCTCCAAATGCAAAATCAACTTCTAAATTCCAATTTGATCATATAATGAGGTTTGTTAGCCACTGGCTACCTTAAAACTTTTTCCCTCGTTAAACAAGGACGAGTTTAAGTTATAGCTTCCTCTAGTTGACTAACAATAACTAAAAATAATAATCATAATATTTTTCTAATCAGGGAGGTACCTCCAATTGTTTTCTCCAGATAGTTGAATGAACGTCACCATTACACATCATGATCTGCTTATCATAACCACACGTGACAAACATGCGACGTGTCGGATGAACAGCTAAACCCCATAACTCATCAGTATGTCCCTGTGAATCCAAGAAAATCCTTATCAATTCCTTGCCAGACTATACGAGAAGAATACACAAGAAGACTATACAAGAAGACTATACAAGAAGACTATACAAGAAGACTATACAAGAAGACAATACAAAAAGACTATACAAGAAGACTACACAAGAAGACTATACAAGAAGACTACATAAGAAGACTATACAAGAAGACAATACAAAAAGACTATACGAGAAGACTACACAAGACGACTATACAAGAAGACAATACAAAAAGACTATACGAGAGGACTAATTCCTCTGGTTCTCTCTCTCCCAATATTTGTTCTGTTCAGAAGATCCAAAAGATTCAAAAGTTTAACAAACCGTTATGCAGAACGACATTCCATCATCAAAAGTTCCTTGGAGTATCGAGTTCCTGGTAGTACCAACGGCCATTACGAAGCGACCATCTTCCTGGACAGGACCATGCGCAATAGATCTTACTGGACCAGCGCTCTCGTCAAGCTACGAGAAAAATCAAAAGAGAATACTACAACTGAAATGGGAGATGCCTCGTATTAAGGAGGGGAGAAAGGAGGTTACCGAGAAACTGTTGTATCTTTATTGTAAAATCCATCTTATTAGATCGCATTCTTTCATTAACGCCTTTGCGCACACAAGTTTCATTCAACAAATTTAGGAAGAAAGGAAACGAAGAGTGGTTTGTGCGACTTATCCAGCTTTGCAGAAGTAGCTGAATTAACATAGATTTACAGTGTACGTTGGGGGACTTTACGGACTGCTTGTAATATGTAGTGCTTACAATTGCAAGTGGCGAGCACTTTATATACAATCTTGAGGGGTGATTAGTTTTCAAGGGTTATGCTGCTAAGCATGGGCAAGGAGGATGGTCTACGGGTTGGAAACTAGGCAGATGGACCCCTGTCTTATTCTCTTTATTAATGTCCCTACAGATTGTCATGGCTAATCTCGGGCAACGAGGTTGCCGGTACCATGGGCTGATGTCCTTAGTGGATCTTTAACTACCACTCGTACTAAGCGCGGGTTGGCATAGAGAAAGATGAGTGCGTGTTCTATGGTTGCTTAGTGTCCTTATCCAAGAAGATCAGAAATTCAATGCCAGGAATGCTCCGCAAAACTCCGAAATACTCCGCAATACAAGTTTTATTTTTCATAATTATTTCTAGACAATTTGCTTCTACCATTATGAATTTTATACTAACTTTTATTTCTCTAAGGGGCTTGTACTCATTATTCCATAGAACAACCAGTCTATCACGACCCCCTCCTGAAAGGAACTGTCCATCCTCTAGAGCACACAACGAGAATATCGGCCCTTCATGTGCGCCCAATACTGCCTTACCGATACGATTGGCACCTGAGCACACAGAACATACATCATCATTCCTTTCGAATATGGTACACTTTTATAGTGCTTGGAAGGATCAAGGATCAGCAGGTAGGTTTGTAAAATTAAGAAGATAAGACTTTTTTTAAGCAATTTACAATCATTTTCTTTCGTAAACCAAGGGAAACGAGCAAAACAAAACAAACATTTCAAGCAAGAAAGGGAATTGCACGGGCACCCTGTAACCTCCACTAAATATGCCAATGTGATTCAAACAGGAAAGCAGGATCATATCAATACTACCTTGCGGCCATTCAAAGATGTTCCCATTTGAATCACCAGATAACATGTTTCCGTCACTCAAGAAACATATGCATAAAACGAAACGAGGCTTGTCAAATTTCTGGAGGATAAAATCAAATTAAAGGTATAAATTAATCAAACGTACTTGGAATCTTATCATAATAACGGTAATGGAAATTTTTAGAGGCCCTTTTTTGTTGCATAGGGGATAGTTCCTGCGCAGACATCCTTAAAGTTGTATTGTTGAGTAACGACGCTAAGGATGAGACCGGCGTGGTAGGCTGCATGCATGGGGAAGGAAAAGAAAAGATGTGGCTTGGCGTGACATGACGTGACGTGACGTGACGTGACGTGCCCTGACCGTAACGGTGCTTTTTCCAAGCATTTTCATTGGATTATCAGTAATAACGTGCGCTGTGTGTGGTTGAAATGGTTTTGTCGTTTCGATTCCTTGGCGGTGTCTTCTGTATTGCCATATGATATTCATATGGAAACTAGCATATTAAGGCCCCACAGGATAAAGCAGCGCAGATGAACATTTTGTATTCTAGTTGTATGCCACCAGAAAAATGAATAAACCTACCCCGTACACTCCCATCTTCTTGGAAAGTCCTCCTGACTCCAACACGGTCCAAAACGCAATATGAGACTTGCCACATGTCACGATGATTGACAGGTCACGTGGATGACAGGCGATCATCAGCACGGGATCACTAGAGCCCTACGAGGTATGAGATACTTTAGAATTACCAAAGATACGTACCACGTACCACTGGCTTAGAGATAGGGCAAGGGATAGGGGTACAAGGCATCTCGGTACAAGGGGTATTTTTACAAGGAATCTCGAAATGATTGAGAAGTGTTATATTTTTTCAACTACATGGCTCTCTCCATGACTGATACGCATGAAGTTACTGCGGATTTGGTGAGAATTTTCGCGCCAAATACGCGCGCGCGCGTGCGCTCGCCCACACCCATCCCATAACTTTGGAACTTTCACTGCGCAAATGAAGCGCACAAGCCCTACACGCATCAAGCAACAAACTTGTTTGAAGCTGAGATATTTCTGGAACATTTTACCTTGTTTTCAGTTATCTTGCGTTTGGTTTCCCATTCCCAGTAGGAAATCACGTGTTCATTAGCTTCGTCCACCACCAAAAGATGGCGGCCGCCGTCCTGCACGAAGATAATGTAGAGATAGATGTTTAAAACTGATAGAAAAATATATTAGTAAAATGATTAAATAGATTTACGAACCTGAATGGAGAAGGCCAAGCATGATATTGCTCGCTCGAAGTCTCCTATCCCGAGAACTTGCAATGTTTCTAACGTCAACGAGTTCCATATTCGCACGTGGGGCTAGAATAATGGGTTTGAGTTAATAATGAGTTAATATTTATTTAGCCAGCGTAGCAGGGAGACTTGGTAGGGGGATTGGTAACATGGGGACCTTCTGTTACAACCCAGCTCTCGCAACTGAGCGGGATTATTGATATAAAAAATGGACTTCAAGTCCTGATTTGTCATACCCCTACTAATAGAATTCAAGGTTATAACTGCGAGTTAGTGAAAACAATGACTAGTCAAATACATAATGAAACCTTTACATGCGCTAACAAATGCATGGGTAATCCAATGATCAATGATATTGTCTTGATAATTGAAGGATAGGGGAGATAAAGTATGATTCCTTCGTGTTGTAATAGTTAAAGGGTTGTATCGATTCGTTTTGAATAAAACAGTTGCAATAACCAATTGCGCACTAACGGCTGCACATCAGAGAGATTTCAATGTACTCACTCGTCCTTCTTCTTTGTCGTGTCCTGCAACCTGACCGCTGGCGATGTAGAGTTTGTTGGGATGAAGAGCGATGCTACAAATAGAAACCACAATGACGAAAATTGAAATCCATAATACTCGAGTTAATTCCCTCGCGCAATAAGTTAAGACTGGTGTGTTTCCATTTTAGCTCATTTTCATAATTTCCTAAGCGTTAGCGTTTATGGCGCCAAACAAAGAAATTAGGAAAGAAAAAATACTCAAAAGAATCCTTCGTGTCATTTTAGAGTAACATTTCTTTGTTTAACGGTTGTGCATGAGAAGACATATAAGCAAAGATTCTTCTTCTCAAGCGAATAACACACTGTCTGAAAACATCACGCCTAACGTAAAGTCTTTCCTTACCATTTGACGTCATCATTATGTCCCAGGTAGTGTCTCTGGTTCCCAGTCCCTGTGTTGTACAGGATCACCACGGCTGCTATGTTATACACCAGTTCACCGGTTGGTAAGTAAAACAGATTGTCGCGACAATCTCTTCCCCTGTACCCAYACCTTTAAAGACGTCAAGGATCAATGGTGACAAGTAACAGTCGCAACTTAGCACTGAATAAACACGAGGTCCTCTGTGTTTAACGTCTCTGAATGAGACGGGAGGGAGCGCCATCTATGCGTGATCATCCTGCTTGGATGCTCGGAAGTGAGAACCGGCATACCAGTAATTACTTGACGTAATATAGTAATGAAACCCTGATGTATTCTACTGCATGCCTTCCTTACTACTATACCTTGTAGGGCTTTTGCAGTACCTCACTCAAAAACCGTGCGGGGATGTGAGCAACAAAATAGATCTAGTATGATTTAGACTGGCAGCCTAGTCAACCATAATTAAGGATACACCCATTCAAGCTCTAGCTTCTGTTCCGGGGGGAGCCTCACAGTTTTATCTTCTACGTAATCACTCGGAGGGTAAAGGTTGAGTGAACGACCACGGATGTACAACCGCGTTGGCTCATCTGGAAAGAAAGAAAGAAAGAAATCTGAACTGAAATACACAGCACAGTCAGGCCCGGCCCGCGACAATGTTCATCTTGAAAGAACGTGATATTTCATGATATTTTGCGCATGTTTTCTTGGCGTTTCAATTGTTGAAAACGCGCAGACACACGGTGCAATATTGCGCGCAAAGGTTTAGGCAACGCTGTTGAAGTGCGTTGCGTTTTCAGCTCTGATTTCCAGCATGCAACTAATAGACGATTTCCGAGATGCGCGCGCCCTTTCATAAATATCGCTGGCGCAGACATAAAAAAGAGGCAATTTCGAGCAGGGTGATTAGAAATCATTAGAAACTATAGCGCTAAAGGCGATTTCTAAACCCTTGAAGAAAAGATTTTGTCCAAAGTGAGCTGTATTTTTACAAAAAGTTACTATTCTGCTCCACAACTATATAAGGGACTTCAAACTTTTCATTTGTTAACAAAATGTTCAAAGTGTTTCCTAATAAAGTACACGTAATATCTATAGTCTTGCCCAAAAATGCCTCGTTTTCGGATCTGAGCACGCGAAAAAGATCTATGGGATTGCAAAATTAAATGCCTGCATCATTAATTGCGCGCAAGTTTCCACTTATATTTTCCTTATACGCCCTTCATTCTTAATGAATTTCAAAGTACTGAATCATGTGTCAAGTAAGTTCAATCTAGCTAATCTCGAAACACCATATATAAAGTAAATATGAAGTAAGCTTACTTCATATTCTCTTGTATATATATATGTTGCACACACAGCCTTCAGTTGTGACTGGATGGTGGAACTCTCTTTCCCTTCGTGTTTTAAATATTTTAATACAACAAGCTCATTCAACCTTATTTTTAAATCCACTCCACCGCTATAATGAACGTGGAATGTATTCCTACCTTTTGTTTTGTTGTTGTTCTCTTCTTTACCCACGAGTGAGCTGAAACAAGAACGTAACGTTACGTCACATTACCAAGGTACTCAAGACTGAGTCAACAATATTTATTATGGTTCCATTCATACCTTGTGGATGCTGCTCTTCTTAAACTCGTTCCTCCGCTTGAATTTTTCCTCCTGTCAAAGCAAAGTCGATACTGAATTTACTCTACTGCAAATCTAATCTGTTTATTATAAAATAACTATTATGAATCTCGCGTTTTGATTGGTTGGGAGCGAGTGCTTTATGAGGGCACGCAGCGCACGCGCACTTTCAGTTGCATCATTCCTATCCAAAATAACGATTATTGTAAAAAAAATTTAAAGAAATGAAAAACTTGAATGGTGTGCTGTGCTGCGTGCACTTATATAGCACTTGGTGATTGGCAGAACACTCGAAAAGCCGGTCGAGAAGCACTCTACTACGCGTCGTGTTTCTCCTAACACTCTGCCAACCCCCGTGTGCTTTATAAGTACACACAGCACGCGCGCGCGTTTTCTATTTCTTCAAGATTCTAGATAGGTGCTTAAGGCGCGATTACACGGAGCAATTTTCTCTGCAACTTGTCTCGCAACGGCGTTGAATGGAGCATTGCAGCGTTTAACATAAAGCGCAATTTGAAGGAAACATTTTGCGAGACAAGTTGCAGAGAAAATTGCTCCGTGTAATCGAGCCTTTATTCGGGCTTGTGCCTGACTTAAAATCGTAGTCGCTCTGAACAGCAAGTGCGAAATAGTACGAATCGCCTTCGCTATAAAATTGTTCAGTGGTATAGACGTCAATCCAAAGGGTTTCCATGACATTGCTAGAAAAGAAAACGTTTTCAAGAGCAGTTCCTATAAAATGTCAATGAAACATCGTACACAGTGTGTACACAGTCATTAACGTGTAAAATACTTACTTAACAGTAGCAATAGACGAAGGCAGGGACAACGAATCAACGGTTCGAGATCGTTGGCGACCTCTTAAATCCAATTCACTCGAAGCACGTCCTATTTTCCGTTTTGGTTTTGCGACACCACTATCACTCAATTTGCGCGCACGCGCAGAAGTGGTTGCAGGTCGACTGTATGATGTCTTGGAGTTGATCTCTGAGGTAGGACTGGAGCGGGATGGTTTCAGATTGTCTTGCACGTGTAAACTGTTCGAGCTCGTAGACTGTAGTTTACTGTGTTTTTTATTTTCTTCTAAAGAAGATTCTTGACTTTCCTTAACAGTTCTAGAAATGTTCTCTGAAGAAGGACTTAGTTTTCGTGTGCGCGCCGTACCTGTAGCAGGGCTGGTTAATGTTGTTGTGGCATTGATTCCTGAGGAGGAAGAAGGACTCGGAGTCTTTTCTTTGACTTGCAAATCAGTAGGCGTTAGAACTGGCGGTTTATCTTGAGCCGACTTTTGGTCTAATGAAGTATCGTGAGATTTCTGAAGGTGAGAACAGTGGTTTTAACAGAAGTTATATTAAAGTAACCTACAGAAAAACTAAATAGAAAGTTGATTAACAGTATAATTCAGGGAACATCTTTAAAAAAGAGGAAAAAGGAATGAATAAACCAAGAAAACTCTCAGCAAAAAGACAAATAATTCTGCGCTAATTTCTAATCACGTGACGAAAACGTAAAATAATTCGAATATTCGAATCAAAGAACCTTCACTTCCATCAAGCTTAAACGTAATATACCCAGTGCATTTATATTGTGCACAAGCGTCGGTTTACTCTCACCTGATCTGCATGCAATGCTTTGGTAGAATCGTCATGGACACTAGTCGAGGGTTTGGCTTTATCTGGCTTGTTCTCGTGAGTGTTTAATAATGAGGTCAAAGACGTTGCACCGTTGACCGATGCCTGCGGAAGAAAGATAGGATTTTTTATTATAATTTCATCATGAGTAGAGAAAAATGACTTTGATTTTTTTATGATTACTGTTTGCGCGTTTTGAACTCCTAAGGGTTGGTAGGGACGTACCAAGTGACGCGATGATTACACTTCTGACGCCTCGTCTTGGGTTGCTCCCCGTTGCGCGCAATCACTCGTGGGCTGGAACATAAAGTAGTCCTGATCGTCCAGCTCTCTCACATGTCTCTTCATGATGATAATGAAATAAAGGGTAATGCCCCAAAAGCAGCAGTCTATAACCACGATTATTTTAAGGTAGATTGTTTATAACAGGACAGGATTTGTCGCATGGATATGACCTTGCTAGTACATGTCCATGGGACGCGTCCCACCATGCGTACTGACCCAGGCGTTACAGGGAGTAAACGGTGGTGTGGTATTTCTCACAAGCAATGTCGCTTCGTATGTCCGCGCATTTAAGATTAGTATCGGTAATACATTTAGTGTGTGTAGTAGTTTCAACTACGGTTGATGTGTGATATTACTAGTGTTCACTAGTTTAGTACCGATAATACATGTAGTAGTTTATAGCAGTTTCAACTAACTAATACCTCAGACGTAGTAGACACAGTTGATAGGATATCAATAGTATTCACTAGTTTAGTACCGTTAATACATGTTATAGTTTAAAGCAGTTTCAACTAACCAATACCTCAGACGTAGACACAGTTGATGTGATATTAGAAGTATTCACTAGTTTATCGCTCAGGTGACGGCGTACAGGAGATTTGTCTCGAATGGTCCTCAGTAATCCCTTCACAAAGTTCAACGAAGTCTGAAATCAAACGTGAAAATTCCATATCACAGCTGATAAGCCACCCCACAACATGGCCTCTCGTTGCCTTTGAAAACGAGACATCACGTGAATATTTAGAGGCTGTAATTATAAGGGACACATGCGCGCAGAGGTATTTTACAAACTCAAATTTATTATTTCATTGCAGTTGATCGGTTTCGTCTTGTGATTTTGGTGATCTATATTACATGATCAGTATCTATGTCTACCCGTGTATTAAAGGGTTCGCTCACCTGACTATCATTTTCCTCGTTGTTTTTGTCTGTTTTAGCAGTGTTTGGTACTGAGGACACAGAGTGTCTTGATGGACGTACAGGGTGACTGGATGTTACAGCAGACGTAGGTATTGATGGCATCATGCGACCTAGAATTACAGAAAATCGTTGTATCAAATTTCAACGTAGTGATGCTCTTTTCACTACGCAATGAGTAAGAAGGACGGCCTGTGTGTACTACTAAATGTGCCGCCTCTAAACACCGCCATGGTCATGAAATTGATCTGCTGACTCGCCTTCGTATGCGAGAAAAGTTGCTTGTTGGTTCTCTCGGCCCTTGACAAAAAACCTAAATTTAGATTCTAATTTGACCATGAAATACTTGAAATAGGGGTCCAAATGTTTGCTATGTGTTGTTGATTAGGTAATTAATACACTGACTGACCTCTGCTTGTTTTTTTGACTTGTTCCTCTACTGTACCAAGCCTCCTTAGAGCACTTGCTAGAGCTGATTTCAGTAAAGTTATCTCATCCTCTTGGAGGGATATTTTCTTCTCAAGGAGCGAGATTCTGTCTTCTGCATCTGAGTTTGTATACCCTTCAAGCAAGAAATGAAAACTATCATTATTATCATTCAAAGTGTCTTTTCTGTTGTTTTGATTGGCCGAGATAATTGCAAATAACTGTCTACGAATAATAATCTGTTCATGCGCACTGCGCAAAGCCTTTTTGCTGCAAATAATGGTCTGCTCATGCGTAGTAAGGTTGCATTTGTCAACATGGCTCGCTAGCATGGCAAATAATTGCTTGCGAGACAGTAACAAATCAGTGATATATCGTGAAATAGACGTCGTCTAGATAATTGCATGTTATTTGACTATAATAACCACATATGACAATATAAACTGAACTAATGATCGACATCGAGTCAGTGTTGCCCGGGAAAAATAACCAAGGACCGAACAAAACTATTTTTTTTCGAATGAAACAAGCCATTGGCTGAGCTAAATCAGACTACCAACCGGGACAACCTGGAGTAAAAAATCCTCGAAACAAAGAAGACACTTACTCACTAAAAAAAATTAATATTCGCATATGGGTGAAAACTGATTTGCCAAGAGCAAACATATTTTAATTGTTAGAAAAATATAACATTAGTCAAAAAACTGAATGGGTAACTTTATATATAATATATAGCGATATATATAAACCGAGTTTATTTACGTAGTACAGCAAGATGCTTTAAAAAGGGCAATGGTCTTAGAATGCTTATAAAATCTATTTTCTCAACCAAATTTGAAACTTTTTCAACATGACTGAATTTAAGCCGAGTATACTATGGCCAGTCATAGCTATGATAAGACGGATACTAAAAACCTATCAAACTTTATCAGGAACCCTGAAAGCCTCGTTATTCACTGCTCACCTATTCAGTCTTATAGTTCATCATTCAGCTTCATTCTTACCATTTTCTCGAGGACTCGTGGGCGAATCTTGTTCAACACTAGACATCAGTACATCATCAACCGAAGCGCCATCCTGAAGGCGAATTGGAGATCTTGAAGGAAACGAGACTGAACGACGAGGCGACCTTATCTTTGTATACGACGGATTCGTAAGTGATGGTTCTTTGATGTAACCATCTGATTGCCACAGGCGTTCATGTGGATTGTTATTACAATCATCCTGCTTTATCTCGGCTAAATGTTTGAAGATCTCGCTCAGCTCTGATTCGGAAGACTTTCGCCTGAGCTGAATGGCAGTCGACATGATTAAAACCTAAAATATGAAAGGATCAAAGCGATAAACACGTGCCAGACCCGAAATTTGCTAAAAAGTAAACCTCAAAATAACTACGTAAAAAACTTATGAATACTTCATATTTGCATACTAATAAAAGCTTCCACCTTCGTTAAGAAAAACAATCGAATTTCTATTGCCATTTCATCAAGCGTAAAATCTTTTTATTAATTAAGTGGAGTCAATTTGATTAAGAAGTTAATGATCATTAAAACGCCCACTCTATTGTACAGCTAATCAAAGAAACCTCAAAGAACAGGCCTTTTGTTTTTACCAAAACTGTTCGCGTCACTAGTCTTTTTAAAAAACATTAAGCCAGCTTGCTGTGTGTGTGTTCATACAGTCAACTCTCGTTACAGAGAACACCCTTTGTCAGTATTTTTGCCAGGAATTTTTCTCCTGTCCGTAATAATAGAGAGGTATGTAATATTGGCATGTCCGCTAGGCGAGAGTTGACTATTTCAACTTCATTTTAGTAATACAAATATACTGTCAACTCTCGCCTAGCGGGACACCCCGATATTACGGACACCTCTCTATTACGGACAGGAGAAAAATCCCCGGCAAAAATACTGAGAAAGAAATGATCGTAATTAATTCTCGTTATTGCAGACGCTCGAGACACTAGAGAAAAACGTTTGCGCATGCGTGCCTTTCATCACGTTTTCTAAGCGACTTTGTCGTCCAGCAATTTGTCATGAGAGACTTTCGCTTTTGACATTTCTACGTTTGGCCTCCGACATTTTGTTTTTAGGCGATTTGTCAAACGGCCATGCCAAAAGCAGAACAGCGAAAAGTCAAACTTAGATTCAAAGCTCCCGGGCGTTCTTCGTAATAAACAAAGGTAACCCGGAAAAAAATTTCCGGAGGCCAAACGGAGAAATGTTGAGAATTGATCAAAAAGACAAACTCACTTTGTAATATGGCCCTAAATCACTTTGACTTTTCAACTTTTGACATTTTTGATTTTGTCTTTTTTTATGTCCGCTCTCGGCCACCGTAAATGTGAGACCAAGAAAATGTATTAATAAAGACAATATAAAAGAATTCAAGTTTCAAAAAAGGGCACCATTTGTTTTTCATTTTGTGAAGCCATTTGTCAAGCATGTTTGAAAATAAAATTTACATAATTTCACAATAGCATGAAGAGGTTTTGACTAATTTGCATACGGATATAGAGCATGCGCAGATGTTTTCACTCGTGTCGACACTCGCTGCACAACGCATTATAATTCGTTCAACGCTAAGGTTTTTGTTTTTTATATATACTTATATACGGCTTTTTCAATTAAAAGGTGGGGCGGTGAAGGTTTCGTTGGCGCTGTTGCATTTACTTACTAAGCTTGAAATGTATTATATTCATATAAAAACAATGCCAGCAAAGAAAACATTATGCCGGGGAAAAAAAACAACTCAAAGTTTAGGAAATTTTCATATTGTTGTGAGTGCATTGCATTTTGGCATGCATTGTTGCTTGGCATGCAACATGCGACATGCAACAAAACCTTCACCAACCTTTTTCAAAATTGTTTGTTTCAGTTCACAAGGTAGTTGGGTTGAAACCAAAGCGCTTTTACTTCTTATTTTTTATACAGCTATTTAAAAAAAAAAGTCGAATACTAAATACTGCATACTGAATAGTGCATTTCATTCCGAGTAGCATTCAGCATGCAGTATTCAGTTTTCAACCTTTTTTGAAATCCTTAGAAGGTTATCAATATCACGATCATATCACCAGTGAGAGAAATGAACAAGAAGTGTGGGTACAACATTAAGTTTAATCTGCAAGTTAAAATGTTCTTTATAGGATTTTTATATTGATTATGAATGACCAGGGCCATACTTCCAGACATCGAGTGCTGAACCGTCGTATGGACTTACGGCTACGCTGGAGATTTCGACCCCAACACCGCTATCCCGGGGGGAATTTACAGACTGATCAGGAAGCTCGGCCGAAGCCTAAGGGAGAGGTTAGTCGGCCCCTAGACCGTAGATGATTAACCCCTTGCTATGACCAGCAGACCCGAACGCCGACTGTACAGTTGATGGCTAAGTTCCCATGCTCACTTCTTTCCATGTGGGATGTGTTTTCAAAAACTGGAAGCAATGTTTATTTACACGCAAACTAAGAATAAAAATCAAATTTAAAAACTTAGTTCCTAAGCTGTCAATTAGGCCTAACAGCATAAGGGGTTTTGACGCTATTTAAAGGATAAGAAACTAGGAATGAAAAAAAAGGAATACGCTTAATGAGATAGACACTGAAAATACACGTCACGCATGCGTATAAGAATCACATCAGCATGCGCAGTAAAAACAATGAAATCAACTTTGCAAACCCCAAGTCTGCTGTCCTTAACACCGATTCACCTAAAACGCACATTATTTCAAACTTTTATCCTCGTTCAAAATCTGGTATGGAGAACTACACGATCTAAAGGACTAATTAATTGCCGACTTTAAGAAAATCAGAAGTCTTTAGTCAGAAAAACTACTTAGAGCCATCATAATCAGTTACATGAATGGCGGTATTTTGGGCAGCTATTAAAAATTGAATTGAAGCACTCTTGGCTGAAATGTTAGTAGAGTGAAGTCATTATACCCTTGAAATAAACACTTGACTAATGCATTTTAGTTTACCCTAATTCCATTGTTTTCCTTTGTGTCTATTTGACTATTATACACGTTGACGAGTAATTTTTTAAAGGAAGAGAAAAAAGAGAAGGTGCTCGAGAGCGGGACGTTAGATCGATGGAAATAGACTGACTAGAAATGACAAAACGCATTTGACTATTTATTGGAATGCAACCAAAATTTGATCAAATAAACTAGAATTTAAATAAATTCCAAAGCCTGGAAGGTTTTCAAATTCACAGTAAAAATACGGCACAATTTTATGCTCTTTATGCTCTCATTTTTTGGTGTTTTCTTCGTGATTGACAAAAACGCGCTAGTATTGAATATCCCTTTTCTGTTCGATAAATATAATAATTATACTATTATTTGACATTGCCGCCGATAAAATTGCTAATGACTTCCGAACCTTTATCGAATAATTTGAAAAACCGTTAAAAAACTTTTTTTTTTTCAGTACAACTACTTTCGTCATTCATGTGACGGGAGTCTGTTATTGCTAACACTTTTCAACACTCATAATCAGTTCGAAAAACTTTACAGTTAACGAGATCAAAGTGCCTCCGGCAGCCTGTTAAGTGTTGGTTGCTCTAAAAAAAACTAATATTCTTTACATGCTTTAGGTGACGACAAAGAATAAAATATATATTTACTAAGTTTAAATAGACTTAATAAGGTAGTCAAAACGAGAATAATCCCATCACATATGTAATGTATAAAGTGGAGAAATATTGAAAGTAGGCTACCTTTTTTGGAGAGGAATAGTTCTGCTGTTTTCCTTTGGTTCTGGACTGTTCCTCATCAGTCCAAGTTACACATATATATAGATACTATGTATAAATTTTGACGTCCTATGGTGCCATGCCAAACTTGGTTGGCATAGATAACAGCTACCCTAAGTATGATTTGTTTAATGAGTCACAAAGAATTATGAAGTATGGGGACTATATTTGTGACTGATATTTGACGATATTATTTTTTTAAATTTTATTTGACTTTTTTAAAATTTTATATGACTGCTGTTTAGTAAACTCACGCTTGAGATGTATAACAATCCATCTATAAATAATGTCCAAACAGACGAAATTATCAATTGAAAAGACGTGCGCAGACAAAGTTTTTATCTATTTCGTAAGGTTATGACATTTTGCTTATTGAATTCACATCACCCATAGTGCAGTTCGGGCTTGGTGTGCAACATGCGACAAAACCTTCCCCAATCTTTTTGAAATAGCTGTGTATCGCAGACTGACCATTTGGCAACGCTGGGGAAGCAACCTTGTTCATTTTTATGGACTTTTTAAACGACTTGTTATCGAAGACATATATTGTCGATTGCTTCAGGTTTTCAATAGCCTATCGCTACTGTAATAAACCTTTCCCGAATCCACTAAACAATGGCTCGAGCTAGCTCCAAGTCAAAGTTGGGCTTGACTTATTCATAGACCGTTTTCTCAAGGTTGTGTGCACACTCCAAATTTATTGAACTTAACAGGCTTAAAAAAAAAACTTAAAAAATTACCAAATCGATTATTCTCAAGTTTAATCATAAAACTGGCTTCAACAAAAAAAAAAAAAAAAAAACTTAAAAAATTACCAAATCGATTATTCTCAAGTTTAATCATAAAACTGGCTTCTCAATTTTACTGAATTTGCGTTTTTTTAGTTTTGTGGCCCGTCAAGTTGGATGCGCACGCAACCTTGAGAAAGCTGTCTATTACTGAGTATTTTAACAAACTTAGCCTCGACTTGTTTCAATCTTTTCGTGGTTACTCAAGCGAATAGGCCCTTTGCAGTTAACGGTCACGTGTCTGTACTCTTGCGTGGTTTTTCTTTTCGTTTTTTCTATTGGTGATTTTTTAAGCTACTTAATTGTAAAGAACTGAGTGAAACGATGTGTAACCAGTGTATTATGAAATGCAGTTCTATAACGATCTCTCGAAACAGGTTATAGAACGTGTGTTTGCACTTCACTATGAAATACCACCCATGGGAATCAGAATATTCATTACTTTGCTCTCAGTGAATTAACCAGCACGTGATTACTGAGCTGGAAAGGGCCTATTCGAGAAAGGTTTGTTACATGGCAGGTCCAGAAGGCGAACCCATGACCATCGTTGCCGTTTAGATACAGCGCATTAACTGCGTATGCGCACACCACCCATTCTTATATTTAAGATTTTTTTCATAAGGTCGATCAACTTAACTTTTATTGTTAATTTTTTATTTTACTGTCAACAGGACTTGACGGCGAGATTCATATCTAATTAATATGAACTTCAATTCTTTTAATGTCACCTTGTCGTTTGATATAAATATACAAAACATCCAAAAAGCACTTGTCTTCATCAGATGAATCTTGGATTTTAAATAACAATGAACTGGAATGAAAGGAGTGGATTGTAATGAGCTGTTTACTTGGTATTTTCAATTCGATAATAGCATCTTCATTTTGTTGTTGTTGTCGCTGATGATGATGACGATGACGACGACCAGAAGGCAACGACGACGACATGTAATGAAGATGTATTCAGCTAGTCTTCGGTGTCCACCCGACTTCTTTTAGACGGCAATGGCTTTATCATTTGACTTAGCAACCTGTAAAAAATATAGCTAATGGTTTCTAAAAAAACTAAAACTAAATTAGCTAAGTGGAATCAGAATTGAATAAAAGAGAGGTTACATCACATCTCTGCAAAAACATGGGATAATGCGGGCAATAATGTGGTTACAACAATGCTGCAAGTTGAAGAGCAAATGTTTCTTGCATTTCCACTCCTCCCGCAACAAATTCTTTTGTTGCAAAGGAATTAGAAAGCTTCTAATTGGTTCAAAAAAGGAAATACGTAGTTCACGGAGCTAGTTGTAATATACGAGCAACTTTGACTCTGCAACTTGCAACACAACATTGCAGCGCGCACGACAAGGTGTTTAGCTCAATTTTGTAGCTCGAACCTCACCAATCCTCAAGGCAATAGATAGGTCCAGGATCCACAAACACCAAGATTAAGTTTTAAAACTAAAAAGAGCTTCTACTTCTTGCAACCAATAAAATATGTTTCGCGCGAACGTAGTAATAGAGGCAATATTTGCTCTACAGTCTGCAATGTAACAAAGCTGTGCAACATTAATGCGTTGCCACTCACAACAGTAGCTGTGGTTTTGCTTAATATTTAATCCCACCTTTATAAAGCGAAACCACAGCTACTGTTGTGAGTGGCAATTTTAAATTTCAAAAAATTGTTGTGAGCGCAAAAGGTATTAATACGGCCAATGTTTGCTCTGTAACCTGTGACGCAACAATGCTGCGCGACATGTTGCACATGCACAATTTTGTCATCCGTTTCACCACACCTTTTATGTTACAAGAATGATCATCTTAATTCAGTCATGACGTATTATTATACTTTACCTTACTGCATAAGCACCCAGGCAAACAGATATACACAAGGCAATAGCTGCATCTAGGAACCAAACTGATTTATTTTCTTCATATGAAAGAGAGCTCATTAGTAACCCAAGAGCCATGACAGCACCAGCCAGTGAACTAAACCCTGCAATGTGACGAGATAAAAAGCTAGTGGCTCATTAAACACCTTTTAGCTAGGTTAAGTATTGGCAGCGTTTGCACAAAAATAATCTAATTTCAAAGTTTAAATTCAAGAGTTACATGAGTTACACATAAATAAAAGCTAACTCACCGTCGGTCTTTAATGAGCTACTCGATAGTCTCTCGGCCACTACAAATTTCATCCAAGCCAAAACAGAAAATACAACGAGACAAACACCAGAAATAATTTGAATGCCAATAAACTGAGGGAGGAAAAGAAGAAAACATTGCTTGGTAAAATACGATTCACATGTTTAACACGATTTGAATCCTTGAACAATCTCTGGACTGACTGATCAATAACAACTGAAGTCATCAACGACAGCATGCAACAACAATAACGATAACAAAAACGATAAAAATGACGTCATGCAGCTGTTTCATTCACATATGTCGTGGCATGGGTAGTGTAGTGGTTTACCGCTTGTCTCTCACCGGTGTGGTCCGGTTTCGAACCCCAGCTCAGACTGGATCATATGTGAGTTGAGTTTATTTGATGTGTTGTTCTCTCTCTTGCCAAGGGGGGTTTCTCCGGGTTCTCCGGTTTCCGCTCTCCGTAAAATCAACATGTGAGTTGAGTCTTGTATGTTCTCTAAACCAAACAAGAAGAACAAAATATTCCATACTAGATTATAGTACAATACCTCATGCGGGTGTCTGTCTACGATAAGAGATCGGACTGCTCTAACAAGTATTCCAAGAGAAGACACGATAAAGCACACTCCCATTACTATACATGCTCTAAAGAAAAACAACAATAACACAATGAGAAATGAGATTAGATACGCCGTATTATCATTGCCGCATAGTTTATAACGAGAAAACAATACAATCCTTACAAATATTGCTCTAATATGCGTCTCCCTTACATGTCTAGCAAGCCAGTGGTGAATTTTGTTTCAGCCAATCATTGCGCATTTAGCTGTTTTATCCACAGGCTAATGTAACCAAACTTTTGCGTATTTTCTGTTTTCTTTTAAACAACATAAAATAAACGTGCCTACAAGAAGCAGAAATAAGGAAAGGAAGAAAAAACAAGTTGAGTTAACCACCAAGTTTGCTTCGTTCTCCAAGCTCCAAAAATGCTTTGGTCATTTGGCCGGCCATTTTGTCCACTCATGCTTTGCGTGCCGCGCGTTCACCGCCCAGCTGGAAGTTTGATACAACTACTACCAGAACCCGAAATTAAGCCCGTTAACCAGGCTTTTACATCCTGCAGTATAACCAATCAGAGATCCAGATAGCTGATTAAATTACTGATCCTGTATAACATACCTTCTTTCTCTGTCCCATGTAAGAGTCTGTCCTTTGTCTCCAACAAATCTCCAAAGTACGACAAGCGTAGACAGGACATCTAGAAGCGAGTCAAACTAAATATAGGATAGAAAACAGGTGCACTTAATAGACGTGGTAAACTAAATTGTGCACAATCAAGTACATATACAGGAGTATAAAAACATAGAAAAAGTACTAACTCATTCATGGTTCAGACTCCCCTTAGTTACCGTTGCTATCACCCTCAAGCTCAAGAAAATTAGTTAGATAATCTCAGAATCAATTTAAAACTCTGATCGTGGAAAATTGATAAATTGTTTCAATTGTTTACTGTCCTGTAAAATAATAGAAAATTGCCTCGTAATCCTTGTAGTACTCTTTTAAAAACGAATAATGTGTAGTTTTTAGTTCCATTGGGAAAACTGCTGTAACGGTGATTGGTCAGATATTGTCTGAGTCTAAACCATGAATTCTAAGTTTTCTAAGTAATGGTACACCTTAGTTAATGGATAACACGTAGCAACAGTAAATGGCGATACTCTACCTGGTCTCCTACACGAACTCTTGCATGTTATCTCAACAAGGGTGGGACGTAGCAGCAATATTTTTACCAACAGATGAGAATTTGCGAGGTACTATATTAACTCGTTTTATCTATCAGTTATTTTTTGGCAACATCTTAAAGTTTTTTGTTTTTTTTAAATAAATGACTTGTAAATACTTACAGCAAATCCGAAGGCTGCGGAGCTCTTTGCAACACTTGACATTGCTGAAGAGAATATATATTAGTCAATATACAAAATGCGAAGGACTGGATACGAAGTTGCATAAAAGCGAGGTCCATGGGGCCTATTGTTGGCGGCTTTAGATTTAATTCGTCGTTGCATGTGTCTATCTCAAAATGTCTGCAAATATCACTCTAAATGAAAAAGAAATCCCCGCGGCATTTTTGTTACACATACTCACGGCATCAGGGATTGGAGGAATGAATCGTCTCTCGATCGATCTAAGAGCGCATCAGATAGCCCATGTTTAATTTTATGGTCTTTGAGGATCGTTTGGTGTGATGTTTCCTCATTCAGTTTCAGACCACGTATTATCCCTTTGAGAACAAAATACGGTTTTATCCACACTGATTAAATTATCTTCTCATCCTTGGCAAGCTTTCACGGCCAGCTCAATAGCAGATATTAGAGTCACACTCTAAAGCTGCCTTCAAATAATTTAATCTAAATATCTCGACTTGAAGCAACTGTTTGTAACTCAAGTATCTGAATACAATATATACTTGCTTACAATATATACTTACAAAAAGCTGTCACACCAATGACAAAGGTGCAGACTAAAGAAACCAATGAAATAGCAATGGCAGCTTTTCTCCATTTTGAAATACTTTGACTGGTCATATAATGTTTCTTCTCATTAAGAAGGTAGTCTAGAAATAAACAAACATACCGTATAGAATCTATAAGTCTTATATAATTTTCATCTTCACGTTCTTGCAAATTTGACTGCGTGTGCGTCGATGGCGTCAACAGCCTGCTCCTTTTACCAATACAGCATGTGCATGGTTTCTCGGCCAATCAGAGCGCGCGTACTATCTATATATGATATATAATAAAAATCGTTAATTTTGCGACAAAGAAATTCCAACCTACTCTACATATCTCAAAGTCTATCGATTTCTGGTGACTAAATTTAGTACGATGAGATTGTTAATTTGAATGGCGTTGTCAATATGCATGGCGTTCACCAAACGTTTCTGTTCATTGACCATGAATAGTTGCATGTCGAGGCTGGAGTTTCCGCGCATGGCAAAAATATGCTTTTTAATTTATCATGCAAGGCAACTCCAACCTTGGCATGGAACTATTATTCGTGGTCACGGAACGGAACATACTGTAAAATGGAGTATTTAGAGCATTAAAAGGCAATGAGTAAGGACTAGTCTCCCTCACAGCCGCTTTCAGTCGACTGTGGGGGAGACTAAGTAAGGACTGACTGTCTTACGGATTTCGGTGACTCCTAACAGCTAGCTAATCGTATTTGGAATGTTTTTATTTATAGATCCATAGTATCGGAATATTAATCGGAACGTGATATCAAAAAATCGTGTTTATCATAATTGGGTAATATCTTTTATTATTTATGATATTTTTGTCAAAATCCGTTGATTACCGAAATAGCAAGATAATTGATGGTTTTCAACCATTCCCAAGAGAATTAAATAACAAAAGACACGGCGGCCATGTTGGAGGATATAACAAAAGAATTCATTGACAATGCTTTTGTTAAGTTCCTCCAACATGGCCGCCTTGAAAACCATCAATTTTATAGTGGACTAAATGATCTCTGTCGTCTTGGAGGAAGGTCACCAACAGAGATGAATGCGGCGGCCGGCCGAACTCATTTACTGGAGTAGATATAAAATCAGTTATTAAATATTAAGACCTATATAAAATTTATATCCAAGATAACAAATGGTAAAAATTATATGACAAAGATAAGAGGAGATAAATTGATTTTTACGTATACAAATAAACAATCAAACAAGCAAGCTAAATATGAGTTCATTCAACATATATCATATACATCGAAGAGGAAGACCGTTAAATAATAATTAAAAAACTGGATAATCTTTTGTTGTTGTTGTTATATAATACCTATTTCCTTTTAGACTTCTAATATAAAGTATTGTTAATTTGCATTCAAGAAAGGTCATAAAATTGATTTCAAAGACAAATTAAAATATTATGTATTACAGCTTGGCAGTCGAGCTGCAAATATCAGTTGCTAGCAAGCTTTAAAAGGACTGAAAGCATAGTATTTATGGATTTAAAACGTCAATGAATATTTCAATAAAGCTTATTATGTTGACTTTAGGTTCAATGCCAAAACTAAAAGTCTGAAGTAGTTGTCGAAGCGTATGCGTATCCTGTTTGTATATTGTATATAGTTCAAGACAAGTTACAAGATTCTAGACACAAAAACTGTTATGTTGTCAAAAACATAAACCAGCACACACAAAACACAAAATTTCGCAAAAGGACAATGTTCAAAAACTGCTCATTGACTCGTCGGATAGAAAAATCGTAGATAAAGCGGTATTTTCCAAAGCAAAAGAACACTATTCTAAATAGAAAACTCACCGTCATCATTGGGAGACACGCAGGGAACCGTATCTTCATCTTCAGGTTTCAAACCATTTCTTATATCATTTTCATGATCTTTAAGAATAAAATTCGTTCCATACTTGGATTTATTATCCATTCTTCAGCAACTGTTTTGAACTTCTGTAAGATTTTGATGCAAAGCCATGTTTTTTGGTGCTTATTCAATATTGCTTGAGTATTATTAGCGATAAGTGAGCCTTAGTGGTTCAACAACTGGTTAATATGCTAATTTCCCTAATTATATTCATAAATTGTTTTTTTTTTCTTGCTCCAAGAAATCCCAGGTTACGTTCCGAAAGGGTCTTTAAAACCTTGCCACTAACCCTAGAGCTTACTTGTAAATAAAAAGGTTGCAAAAAGATATTATTTTTACTATTTTTTGATTTACGTCTCAGTAATATAAGGCGCCAATTTTCCCGCCCATAAAATGCTTTCAATTTCTAATTTATTCTCTCCTCTATCATAAAAACCGTGAAAAGGAAAATATAGTCTTTAATTAATAATATGCGTATGTCGCTTGCCTATGCATTATCCGAAAACTAAGAAAAACCCAGAAAAAATACTGTCCCATTGTGTCCCGTTCATATCCCGCGACTTTCCCGCGAAGGTTCTGGTTGCTGGTTGTCGATTCCTTTCCGGAAATGTCCGACTGTTTTCCGATTGATCCCGACAGAATATCAATATAGTTGTTTAGTTTGGATTTTGACCTCCCGTCTCAAGAACCTCGTCGGTAAAATTCATAGCCTTTTTCTGAGGTCTCTTATATTCCAAGGACTTCCAGATAGGGTCATAATGTATTGAAAAGAAAGTGTTCTTTCTTCTGCTTTTGATTTTTGACATAGAATTTTGGTAGAGACGAGATAATAGTTGCGTGAACAAATATAGGAGCTGTGTTAGCTAGCCATGGCTTACGTTCGCGTAGCTGGTACTGCATTTGCTTTAGGATGTGGTCTGTATGGATACAAATACACCAAGGATTTCTTTGATAAGAAGGTATGTTAGATAAAATCTATGCTTAATAGGAAATTAATTCGGTTTCTGTACTATTCAGTGTTAAAAATCATTTGTAAGGCTTCAAGGTTCAACTCCCATCTGTTTTTACCTTCTTAATTTTTAAAGTTCATTCATTCGCTTTAAACCTAGCCTTGATTGCTAAGCAAGCACTTTAAATACAGACTAGAGTGACTCGCAGTACTGTGTAGGGACAGGTTTGTACACATTTAAAGAGTCATGTACATCATTTTATCAAGCTTCAGCGAACAGCTTAATGATGAATATTCAATTAGACTTTAAACACCGAACTCCCTTTAGTCTGACAAGCTTTGCAATATGATAAGCTTAAGCTAACTTTACCACAATTGATTTTAAACTATTTTTTTCTAAAATCCTAAGGATGAGGATTCTAAAAGAATGAACAATATGATATAAAAGTTATCCAGGATAAATAATAGCCATGGAAAACACCTGGAGTCATATAATTATATTCCCTAGGAAACTGTGAGATGGCCCAGAGTCCAACTGAATGAAATCATGACTGCTTTTATAATTTGTTATGCGATATATGATGGCTTTCCTCATTTTTGGGTGTTGCAGTATGTGCTATAAATGAAGACAACCACAAGGAAATGTAATATTAAAATATAGTGTAGTGATGGAATGACAGAAAGTGCTACAGTGGCTGCCCAGGAGGCTACGTATACATTCATTCTGAATCTGTCTAAAAATTTTACAACTGTTTGTTTTTTCCATGCAGAATCAAATAGCAATAGTGCAAGCAGCAGAACAAGCAAACCAGATTGGAAGGACACATATTCCACTGCCCACAAGGTATAGATCTAGATGATTACACTCCCTCAACTAAGGGAGCATTTATTTTTTAGAAGAGGGAGAGGGTGATGGTCAAGTTTTTTACACAGCCAAAAACTGAAGGTCATCAGTATTTTCCTTCACTCAAAAACAAAACTGAAAAATGATGGAAAGGGTCAAGATTTGCTCCTTTAAATAAATGGAAGGTTGTTGATTTTTCTAAAGTAGTACATGTAGATTCCTCTGGGCCGCACACCTCTATAACAAATTAATACTCCAAATACTGTCATGTTTTCTTACGAAATAACAATGATAATAAATGAGTCTGATTGTGTGTTTCAGGAAGGGGACTGGGGTTGAATATTAAAAATGGTTGCAAATGTTTGCAGAATATTTTACAATCATAATGAACCTGTGAATATGTTTTTCTCATTATTAAAACAATTTTTTGCAGGTCAGCCAATATTGACAAATTAAAAACAACTAAAGAATTTGATGTGTTGGTGATTGGCGGTGGAGCTACTGGTGCTGGTGTGGCTCTTGATGCTGTGACTAGAGGTTAGACTATTTTATCCTAACTTTAATAATGTTAAAGAAGATTATTGCATTGATCAACAATTTTGAAATTAATGTGATAATAAACTTGCAGGTCTAACTACAGCAATTGTTGAAAAAGAAGACTTCTCAAGTGGAACAAGCAGTAGAAGCACTAAACTTATACATGGAGGGGTGCGCTACCTTCAAAAAGCAATCATGAATCTTGACCGAGAGCAGGTAGGACAAATTGTCAAGTCGGGAGAGTAAGGGGAACTTACCAACCTCCACCCCATCCCCATCCCTTAGCGAGAATGCGAGGCTAACTTGGAAATACAAAGAAATGCAACAATTTCCATCGAGAAAAAGTCTGATTTTGTTTGTATTTTCATTTCAGCCCAATGCATCTATTATGATTTTGAGAAGACTCCATTTAAATATAGTCAATTTTATTACCATTGATTCTAAAATTAATGTTAAAATCGTATATCTGTCATTAACTCGTAGTGGAAGAATTTCATCATAATACATAAATGTGCACTGTAAAAAATAACCATTTATATTTACTTTACTAGTACAAGCTTGTCAAGGAAGCACTGCATGAGAGAGCAAATCTTCTTGCTATTGCACCTCATTTATCAGGACCTTTGCCGATAATGTTACCTGTCTACAAGTATGTTATGTGAAAGTTTTATTGCATGTAGAACTTGTTCTCTAGTAAGAGGTGGGAATGTTAAGTCAAAAGAAATGAAGTGCATGAATATTTGGCATTTAGACCTGTCAACTCCAAGCTGCCAACTAATCTATTGAAGAAATACAACAGGGTTTTCATTATTAGTCCTAACCAAAAAACTGTGGGCACCTAGAAATATTTCAAGAATGTTTTTTAACCATTCAGAAGCATTATTATTATCTTGTGGTTAGAGTCATTTCTGATTGGCCAAAAAACAATAGAAAATTCCTGGAATATTTCAAGGTGCCCATGGTTTTTTGATTAGCACTGTAAGTTTGAAAGGATAGGTCTGAAGAAGATTATGGTAGTTTACTGCAGTTTTCCATATTCTGCTATCTCAGACATTACAACGACTTGTTGTGAATTTTTTTTTACTGCCGCCAGTCAAGAACATAAGAGTACTTGCTTTTGACTGCCAAGTTCTCAGAATATTGAAAACTGCAGTTAGCTGGAGAATTTGGTTCAGTTACTGGAGCATTCTCTGATCTCCGACCCTTAATGAAAATCAAGGGCATACTGTGTGTAGTTATAAAGCATGTAGGGATTGGCAGAACATGAGAGAAGTGTTAGGAGAAGCATTACTTCAATTGTATGTTCAAAGTATAAAGTAACATTTTTCTCATTTTGTGATTACAGATGGTGGCAGTTACCATATTTCTGGGCTGGCATCAAGATGTATGACCTAGTGTCTGGAAGACAACTAGTCAAAAGCAGTTATCTTGTAGGCAAAAAGAAAGCTCTGGAACTCTTTCCCATGTTGAAGAAGGAAAAACTCTGTGGTGCTATTATCTACTATGATGGTATGATTTAAAAATTCACCCCTTGCACTTAGGAATAAAGTCGAAAGAATTGTCATCTTACAGGACCCAATTTAGTGGGGAGAGGTGGAGCTACCTTGGCATTTAACTCAAAAAATGTCTAAAAAACTAAAAGTCGAATCCCAGAATTACAGCTCTTCTCAATCGCACACGTGAAATCATCAATTTGCCATTGTGACCTGGAGTTGGTTTTGGTGTACGTCAGTCAATGTGTTTCCATGACATTCCATAGGCATGTGCCCTTAAAAGCTTTGTGTTTTCCGACAATGCTGGGAAACACTTTGATTGGCAAAATCTCTAATATGTCTTGAAAAAAATATTCGTGCATGATTGAGAAGCACTGTAAATGTTTTGCATGCATGTATGCAAATGGGAAAAAGTAGGGTGCAGAATCAAACTTCCCAGTCTGGGGTCAATTCCATTTTTGTGAGCATTGCATGCAATCTTTTCTTCACCTTTCAGGTCAGCACAATGATTCTCGTATGAATATAGCAATAGCACTGACGGCTGTTAGACATGGTGCCGCTGCTATCAATCACACAGAAGTACTGTCACTCTTAAAGAAAACTACCAAAACAGGTAGGTAAAGATGTATTGTGCCATTCCAGAAATTATTCATACCCCCATGGAGGACTTTGGAATCTCCGAAGGGTGGAAGGGTCAGAGAAGGAACAAAATTAAAGAGTCTATATGGAAGAATATTGGAATTTCTGGGGGTAGGAGTTCTTTAAAACATCCTCTATATGTGTGTGTGTGTGTGTGTGGAAGGGGGGGGGGGGGGGGGATAATTTCTGGAACTACACATTCCGGAAGGCTTAGGGTGGCATAATGTGCTTTGAATACACAGTTTTGCATTCGATACATACCACTGTCTTTGAAGACCACAGAGTCATTTGCACAGGCTTACCCTCATTTATAAGTCAGCTATTCACAAATACCATTAAGATTTTGTTGGATATCAAAACATTGGTGTTTTTTTAAGCTGCACATTCTTTACATTACAGTTGACTTTTTCAAATGATTTGCTCTTAAGTAAGGCTTATCTGTGCAGATAAGTCTTCAGGCGTAAAACCTAGTGGTATTTACCAAACTAGAAAAAGAGCTATTGGGAAAATAGCGATAAGATCTATTTATTATCAATAATATATATATATGTGCATGTTTTCTAGCTTGTCATTGGTTGGTTACCAGCCATCAGTCACCAGCCTATCTGGATACAGTATTATTAACCTTGATTTTAATATTTTATTTTCCCTTGACCAGCTGAAGGCAAGGTACAAGAGGTAGTATGTGGTGCTCGCATGAGGGATAACCTTACTAACGAAGAGTATGATGTCCATGCCAAGTGTGTCGTGAATGCTACTGGTCCCTTTACTGATAGTATACGTAAAATGGACAAAGACGATACCCCAGATATATGTCAGGCTAGTTCTGGGGTTCATGTTGTTCTTCCATCATATTATAGGTAATATTATAGGTCATATTTATTAAAGGAAAAATACAGTTGCGAGGTATAGAGGCTGAATAAATTATTGTAGGGCATTGAGTGTTGCCGGTTAGAGTAGAACGACAGTAATGGGATTAAGTTATTTTGTTTGTGAAAACCCTTTTTTGTCCTCCTTTTTACCAGTCCAAAAGACATGGGTCTGTTAGATCCAGCCACTAGTGATGGAAGGGTCATTTTCTTCTTGCCCTGGGAAGGTAAGTACTATTGTCTGGTTCACAACTCGTTTTTGAGACTACAACTTAAATTATTAAATTAATTATCAAATTAACGAAAATTATTCTTGGATCGTAAAATTGGTCAATTCAGTTGAATGATGTTTTTGTCTATAACTACGATTTTATATAGCTTAGATGTGACACATGCTATGGTTGGACGAAAACTATGTTTCATTAGTGAATGGAGCATGGTTTCTGACACCATTGATCTGCGTGCATAGCAAACTTTGCAAAGAAGTGCAAGAAAACAGCATTGAAAATGAAAACTGATTTTTTTCTTTTTTCTTAATACGTGCTAACACTCGGTAAATCTTTCTCTGGTTGGTCAGGTCGTGCGATAGCTGGTACCACAGACACACCTACAAAAGTCAGCTTTGAACCAGAACCGCAGGAGGCAGAAATTCAGTTTATTCTCAGCGAGATTAAACACTACTTGAATGAAGATGTAAATGGTACGTATTATCATTATCATTATACCGTATATGAGGATTCAGTTCTTCCCTGGCAGCACCCTTTTTGCAACTTTTTTATATTATAATTTGTTTGCAAATAAAGTTATTATAAATTAGTGCATGAGTATCATTTTCATCGCTATCGCCACCATTATCACCATTACCACCACCTTTGTCATTACTATCACCTTTATCGTTACCACCTTCATCACTATCACAATCACCATCATCATCACCATTACCATCGCCTTTATCATTACCACCTTTATCAATATCACTATCATCATCATCACCATCACCATTTACCACCTTTATCGTTACCACCTTCATCACTATCACAATCACCATCATCATCATCACCATTACCATCACCTTTATCATTACCATCATTCTTAGCAACTTCACGATTGTTATCACCACGATTACTCCGCTATTGATAGGCAACCAAAACAGCGAGAGGTGTTTTTATCGTTGATAAGTACGTTACGTTGACGCCTCCTTCCCTCTTATCCTCAATTCTTAGCTGATTTACATATTTCAATTCCCTTTTCAGTTCGTCGGGGTGATGTGATAGCAGCCTGGAGCGGCATTCGCCCTCTCGTCCGAGACCCCAAATCTAAAAGCACCGAATCGATTGCACGTAATCACGTGATCGACGTCAGTGACAGTAACTTAGTCACCATAGCAGGCGGGAAATGGACTACCTATAGATCAATGGCTCAAGACACAGTAGACACTTGCATCAAGGCCTGTGGGCTCACACCTGCACGTGACTGCCAGACAGATGGTCTGCTGCTGGAGGGAGGGGTGGGGTACACACCAAACTTGTTTATTCGACTGGTTCAGGATTTCGGTCTGGAAGAAGAGGTATGCGTCTTCTCGCTGCTTTGAGGCACTTATTATTATATTAAAAGGTGTGTTATGCAGAGAGAGAGAGAGAGATAGTGAAGATGCAACCCGGAGAAAGTGTTTCTTACTGAGGGAGCGATCAAAGAGAGACATTTACTCAATACAAATAGAAGTGTATTTTGAATCATATTTTGTTAATTTATACACACTCCATTAGTTAACCTCACTTGATAATGACGTCGGATGATGTCGAAACGTCATCTTTTTGCGTTTGTCTTTCTAATGAATTTCATATCAAGGTCTAGACTTATCAAAAAGTGTTTTTACTTAGGAAAAAAAAAGGAAAAGAAAGAGCGAAAAGAGGTGCTGAATGGGAAGCTAATTTTAGAAAAGTCGCGTTTAAAAGTGTCTTTTGTGAAGGAATAGAAAGAGCGTGCGGTTGGTTAATCGTGGTCGCGGAGTTTAGAGGTGTTCATTAAGGAGATACAGAATGGTTGGTTAACATGCTGGCGTTAAAAAAGAAATGTTTCGCAGAGGTGGCCGCTCACAAATATTTTATTCAAATACCTAAAGTTTCATTCCTTTCTAATTACTAATATCCTCAAATATCATTTAGGTTGCAAGAAACCTTGCTCGTAGTTATGGTACCAAGGCTCCACAGGTAGCCCGTCTAGCAAGTCTGACAGGCAAACGATGGCCCGTGGTGGGACAGAGACTTACGCCAGACTTTCCCTACATCGAAGCTGAGGTCGGTAACTGATTAAAAATATTGGTGATTGACATTTCGAGTTGGGATGGGACAGAAGAAAGCGTGCGGGCAACAGAAAAAAGCAAATTTTCTGTACTTGATTACTTGGCGTAAATATTCAAGTAACTGAAAACAAGCCATACCTCAAGGGTTGGAAAGATATGTAGATGAGGAGAGGGGTGGAGGGAGGGAGGAAGGAAGGAAGGAAGGAAGGAAGGAAGGAAGGAAGGAAGG